CGAAGAGTGGGAGCAAGTGAAAAGCAGTGAAACGCGAAGCCCCCGCAGGTCGATTCTCACAAGCTCCTGGGTGCTGTTCCCAGCTCTTCCTGTGTAGGATAAACGCAAACGTTTTGGGGGCAGGTACGTAGAAACGCGAAGTATTTACTGTTGATGCAGAAATATATATATGTGTGTGTGTACACTTGGGGTGGGAAGGAGTGAAGTTGCAAGTAGTCTTTGCTTCTTCTGCAGTGTAGTAAAATCATTTGAGTTAAAATAGCTGTAAGCGGTGTATGTGCTCTGTTACTGTTTTCAAAACAGCTGGCTTTTAAAAGAGGAATTAGCTGGCAACTTTGGGTAAAATTCTGGCTACTGTAATGTTTATTCTTATCCCACCGTGGTCTTTATTGTGACCTGAACTTTATTCAATGTATCTAGTTAAACCCCCCCCCAACCTAAGGAGGTGCGTTGAAAGTTGGAGAACTTCTATGCTTGTACCCATTTATCTTGTTTGTTGTTGTATGTTGAGTGAAATTGTGCCTAGTTGGGACTTCCTCTGACATTTTCAAGTACTCGGTGATTCTTTAAATGCATAGTACCTGTACTCTCCTTATTCTTGAAATTAATTCTGAATGTAAAACACAAATGTTTTCTTGTATGTGTTATTCAGGTACTGTTTATTGTGAAACAAGCCAGTAGGATCCCATTTCCCCTCATCCCTTTTTATTGAACCATGCTAGTCTGGAGTTTGTAAACACAGTAGGAGTTGTTTAAAAACATGCATAAAACTAGATTACTTTTTTTCATGCTTGGAAGTATTGATACACTGGTATTGAGCAGCATAATATTCTTCATGTTCCTTGGAATATGTCATGTCTAAGCTTAGTGTCAGAATTTTCTTTTCTTAAAATTGGGGTTTATTTACTTTGAATCATTTGTGAAATATGGTGGGTTTTTTTGTCTTTTTACTGTTGTATACTTGAAAGAAAGATTTTGCTGTGGTGTTAGTAGGAACAGCTGTGCTTCATTTAATCAGGTGGATCATTAGTGAATTGGTCAAAGCTGTGTTTGGTTTCTGTTCTCATTAGGATTACTTTCTGCGCAGGGCATCTGCTTGTTCTCTTATAGCAAATGTAAAACAGTTGGATTTGCTCCTGGATGAAAGCATGATTAGTTAAAAATTGTGTTGCTTGATCTAGTTGAGAGGTGTCCCTGCCCATGACAGGGAGGTTGGATTAAATGATCTCCAAGGTCTGTTCCAGCCTAGGCCATTCTATGATTCTATGAAAGCCTTTGACTGCATTAGGTTCCTGGTTTAGTTTCTGTATTTGGAGGCTATGCAATGATCTGTATCTTAAAATGGATTTAATAATTACATTTAGGCTCACTGAATTATTTGAGGAAATAATGCATCAAAATTGTTACTTATTTTGAAGAAAACTTGTCTTATTTTTCTTTTATGTAAAGCTGGAAATGACTTTTTTCTAAAATTCTTGCTGATATCTAGTAGCTACCTGCATTCACTGGAGGTAGAATCTGTCCTATTCATGATGCTTTTATCAAAGTGAGTTGATATGTCTGTTTCATTCAGAATTATGGAAAAAGCAGCTTTTGTGCTCTTGCAGTGTTTACTTGTAGATCAGTGTCTTTCTAAGCGGATGCTCTAGGGTTTAAGAAGGAGTTATACTGATGACAGAGTACTCTAGTATTAAGTCCAGAGCTTTAATGCAAGCCTAATTTTCTTTTTAAGTAGGTGGCACTTCCTGTCAAACTTTATGGCTGAGAATCAAAGTTGATATGTTAGTTTAATATTGCATAGCAAATAGGAATGCTTAACATTCTAGAATTCTTTATGGTTAAATAAATTATGCTTGTCAGAGCTACCTGGGATATTGAGAAATTTAATATACCAATTCTTCAGGTTTTAAAAATCGTAAATGTGATAGGATTGTCTTATTTTAAGTAGAGGATAGGAGAAACAATTGCTTAAGCTTATTTTAATTTCTTAAGTCCTTGGATTAAAAAAATTATTTTGAAAATGTTTTGGTTTGGTGTTTTTGTGCCTAGTTGATTTTTTTGTTTGTTTTTATCTAGTAAAACTGATTCTGAAAAATGGACAACAGTGTTTGTCAAGTTTATGAAGATGAAATCCAGGTACTGGAAGAAGAAATTAAGCTATTGACTGAAAAGTATGAAGATGGCCAACAAGAATCCACTTTTTATTCTGATGAGGAGATATTGATGTCAAAGTATGCCTTTTTTTGTATTTTGGATTAATAGTGTGTGTTTGTCAAAATTGTTTAGCAGAAGCTTTTGCCTCTGTGCTAGGACTTTCCTTATGTTATTTTTCCGGGTCTGATCTTGTTTAGGATGTGGGTTATATATGATAGACGTGATCTCTCTTTGCTGCCTTCTGTTGGTAGTTCATGGTTTGTGGGGTGTTTTTTGTTTGTTTTTTTGGGTGGGAGGTTGGGGTATTTTTTTGTTGTGGTGTTTTGGGTTTTTTTTTAGGATTTTTTGTTTGCTTTTTTTTTATTTTAAAGACAATCAAAGTGGTCAGAGCATGTTATCAGGTGTGTTACCGTTCTGGCCCTGCAAAGGTGTTGACTGCATAGGCCATGTTTTCCATTATGCAGTGTGAAACAGCTCAGTGCATGTTTTGCTTGGAAAAGTGGGGGATGAGGAAAATGAAAATGAGAGTTGAGGACATGTACAAGTATGACTAGTTATATGTTCAAGGACAATATTAGAGCTTATTTCCATTATTGAACTGATATGCTATAGAAAATGTACACTCTGTAGATAAGTTATTTACATGAGTAAAGGCATCACAGCTTGTTTTTGTTGTACTTTCCTCAAAATGAATTCTTGCATCACAAGACTTATAAACTAAGTGCTGTGTCCACCTCACAGGGAACATGAACCATTTATATAAATTAGAATAGTTTGCTGTGATCTGATTGAAATTTGACTTGGTGAAAATTGATGTTGCTTGGAAAATTGTCAGATCACATCACAAATGCCTTTTATGGAATGATATTGCTGGACTGATGTGATAAAACATATGTCTCTTGCTATTTTGATATTTATTATTTTTAATTCTAGAAAATTGTTCTGGAGAGAATTTCAGGGAGAATCTAAAGGACATGGATTTCCATCAGATTTGAAAGCTCAACTCGAAAGTCTGGAAAGAGATCTCTCATTTTTAATGAAACTTACCGGTATTCAGTTCACAGGTCATTCCAGGAAAACAGTGGAAAAAAGTAAGCATTTTTTGTGCCTTTTACTGGTGCTAATACTGAGCATACCGTTTCAGTACGTTATGTTTGAAAATGCATATTGTAATTTAAATTTTGAACGGAATTACCATCAAGTATTTTGTTAACTTTATTTTATAACAGCTAGAAATGGAACAGTGCAGAAGCATAGATTATCAGGGAATTGCCACTCTCTGTCTTTTCAACTGGAATTCCAGCTTCTTGAAATGCAGGTGAGGATCAATGTATGTTTAAAAAAAAAAATGCAACTGAGCAACAAAACTTCAAATGGAAAAATATTAATACATTTTTTTCCAGCTGAAACCTCCAACTGGTGTTTTGTCATTTAAGCCTCAGTGGGTTTTTTTTGTTCTATAACTTTTGAATTCCCTGCACATCCAAACAAAACAGTTCTTAAGGTCAGATTCAGCCTTCGGTTGTGAAATTTTTATCACAGATTTTTTTGGGTTGGAGAAGACCTTTAAGGTTGAATCCAACTGTTAATATAAGACTGCTGCCATGTGGATTGTGTAAGTTGAAACTACAGGAGTTCAACTGAATAAGGTTTTTGTGCAACTTGAAACTTGTGATCCTAGCAATACCGTTTTAGCATTTGCTTGTATAAAACTGCATTTAGCTTTGAGCCTGTAGCAATCATGCGACTTGATTAGATGAATATTTTTCTCACTTGTATTCTCCTAAAGAATGTGGGTATCTGTTAGTGCCAATGGAGCTCAGATGAATAAGTGCATGTTAAGTTCATTTTAAACTGCATTGGTGATGCTTAAATCTATTACAGCACTAGATGGTAGCACTTGTCTACATAATGCCTAAAACCAATCCTGCTTCAGTGCTGATGGAATGCTATTTGGAGTAAGCATACCAGGTGTATATATTTAAACAAAACCCCACACTTCAGGTGAAAAAAATATGATTTTGAGTTATTTTGCATGATTTCTTTAAATAAAAGTACATGCCACCTATAACTTATAGTTTAATGTAAAATGCAGAGAACGTGTCAATTTACCTTAAGTTAATAAACTTTGAACTGTCAATGTTGTATGCATTTGTATAGTGTGAGTTGTGGCCATATTATTGAAAATGGTAAATTAGTTAAGCAGACACCAACAGAATACAGTCTTTAATTGTGCCATAAAATACCAATTTGGGTTTTTGTTTTTTGTGTTAGTTACCAAAATCAAGAAGCCCATTTACTGTACTGACTAACTTCTGTTCCTTTGTTTTTTTTGTGATTGTATATGAACCTGGGTGTTATTAAAGGTTTTGTGTTTACTTAAATGTTTATTTTAGCTGTTGTACAGATCATAATGCAACAGTTGCACAGTTTTGTAATTTATATGATTAAAAAAATTACTCTTCCATTTCTTGATAACGAACAAGTGTATCTTGTGTCTAGATTGCTAACAATTCCAGTCCAAAGTTTTGCCTAGGTCTAGCTGGTTGTGTCTCTGGTGTAACAGTAGTGACACATTATCTTGGTTTGCCACAGACTTCATACATTCATTCATTTTTTCCTGATGTTACGTACTCAATCTACTAAATTTTGTAGTGTCGTGGTTTGTTTTTTCCATCTGTAGTGATGGAAACCAGTGTGTTAACCCGAAGTAGGGATTGCTTCGGTGGTTTGCATTTGACTCCAGCTTGTCTTTTTAGCTGCTTCTGTGTTACCATTCCTGTTTGTTTGTAGTGTCTGGATATAAGAAAAACTAAGTACAAAGTCTTCAGTACAAAAGTGAAGCATTTGCTGTGGTTTTAAGCTTTTTCAGTCACTGTTATCTAACCTGTTACTCTGATGTGTTCAAATATACCTAGATAAAGAACTAAGTTCTTTTGTGGCTTCATTTCTGCTATGTGAACTACTTTTTTCTCTTTTTTTCTTTAAAATAGATTGTTAGATATTTTAATTTGGAAACATTTTATTTTTATCTTCATGCACATCTCCCTGAGTAACAGTTGTTATTGTAAAAAGGAACAGGAATTTGAGCCAAAGCTATAGGCTTTAAAATAAAATAAAAAAAAAAAACTTAACAGGAAAATTATTAGTCCTTTTTAATGTAGGGTAGCATTGCTGTGATTTTCAGATGAAATCTTGTGTTTGAATTTTCTGGTATATGTGACATCTAGGGGTTGTGTTGGGGAGAAAAAAAGACTTAAAAAGGTGGAAGTGAGATGAAAGCAAGCAGATGAACTTATAAGTCTTCCTTGTTATACTCTCTATGTTGACAAGTTCAGATACCCTTTTTTTTTTTTTTCCCTCCTTGCTAGAGAAGTGTCTAAAATATTCCGTTGTTACTTCTCCAATCTAGAACAAAGAGAATGTGTCTGCTGTTATTACTGATCTTAGCATTATCATGGAATCTGGAGAAGATTTGAAGATGAAAGAGTTCGTGTTAAGGTAAGTTCAAAGTTTTTGTTTAAGGGAATGTATTGTCTGGGATAACTGATATTAAATGGATACCGAATTTTGATATGAATTGCTGGCAGTTAGTTTCTTTTTTTGGTAATGTACTGCTAAACCTAAACCCTTCTGATCCTTTGTCTGTATCCTTCTGGAGAGGAGTGTCGTGGTTTCACCCTGGCCGGCAGCCAG